AATAAGTTAGCTAGCACATTGCTGGACATATTATCTACTATGACCATGACCAGAGGGGAAAAAGTGATTCTCTCTCCCTTGGGCATCTTTTAGAAAGTGAGGAAAATTTTCCATCAAGTGACACCTAGGAAAACTGCACCAATGGAGTATCACTTAGGATGTCCCTCAGTACACTCACATCAGTGGTTGTCACCTTCTTACGTGTTCCATGTAAGAGCCCCGCCCCGCCCCCTTGATAAATGTAAAGGTTAGGGATGACTTAATCTCCTCCTCAGAGATTCTGACTTAATTATCTGGGGGAGTTTTCAAACTTCCTCAGGTGAGTCTAAGCCATGGGCAATGTTCAGACCCACTGGTGCAAATGGAATCCAGATAATCCTACAGCTCTCGTCTTCCAGATTTGCCCCAAGGTGCCCAGGCATGCCTAAGTCTTAGAGGAAGGCCAACACTGCTCCCTGAGAAGTTTACTGTGTTCCCAGAAAAGTTTACTGAATTTCATGTTTTATTTTTAAATGTGAAAACCTTGTGCTTGCTACACCATCTACATCCACGCAGGGCCCTCCTCACCAACAAACACAAATGCTGAAAATACCACCCTGCGGTTGTAGGAAAGACTCCTCTGCACCAAAACCGGGTTCATGGCTGCAGCCCTGCTAATGAAAGATGAAGAAGTGCTTAAAGATATAAATATATCTATATATAGTAGTATATGATATATTTATATAAAGTTATATATAAAGTTGTATGTGATATGAAGCCTTTGAAGACTGGCATCTTGGCACTTCAGAAAGCAATCAATGCACTTTCTCTCTCGTATCTCCCCGGAAACAGGCCATAAAAACCAATGCCTTTCTGACCTTCCCATGAAGTCAATCCATGAAGCCAAGAACTCTGTGAGAGGTATTTTCCTTGATCCAGGAGAAGCGTACAGAGACTCAGAGAAGCATATAGAGACTCAGAGAAGCCTTTGAGCAATCAGGCCTAGTCAAGGCCAGTTTACTACCATGAGACCACATTCTCTTGTGTAATTCTATTTCACAATAACCGTCCAGTCTCTATCCAAACTGAGCATAAAAATATACAGTTGCCTGTCTGTTCATTTCATTGCAAAAAGGCTCCCATGTCATGTAACGCTTGTAGCAAATAAATGTGATTTTTTTTTCCTGTTCATCTGTTCATTGTTAAGAGAGTCCTCAGCCTCAATTCTAGTATTATTTGAGGAAAAGCTATTTTTCCTCCCCTACATAATGAAAAGAGAAGAGTAGAAGTGAGGCTTATGAGCTGTAGTAACAAGCAGCCAGCCCAAGAAAATTAAGAAGAATGGGCTCAGCCTCTGTCAATGGGTGTGGAGGAGGAACTTACAAGCATGATCAGCCAAAGCCTTGTTCTGAGAACAAGGGGAAGCCCCAGAAGGCTGTCAGTAAGCCAACAAGGAGTCAGTGTGTGAGCACAGGGACCACTGGACAGGAGAGAGGTGCTGATGGTTTGCACTGGGTGATGGCTCAGGGTTTTCCCTGCTGTGTGTTCATAGTTACCACTCAGCATCATTATTCTAAGGGCTTCTCTGGGGACCCAAAGTATGGGGGATCTGGACATCCACCAGTTTCTCCAGCAATAACCTGGCCAGTCAGCAGACACCTACATCTGCAGCCACACAGTATTAAAACAAAACAAAACAAGACACCAACAACCATAGGGAAGTGACTTCATCTCAATTTTCTGATTAATCATTTAGCTTGGGACACCTAAGTCAACTGGGTAAAAAGATACCTGAGCTGCAGGTCAGGATCACAATCCTGTCTCAAATGCATGACACCCCCTCCCCCACCCTTACAGGGTGTGTGGGTGGAGGTTTATAAGGAGTATTTTTAAAACCTTATTTTCATCCAATCAACACTTCCTAACAACCAGGAGGGGGCGCGGGGAGGGGGGTGGGGGGTGCTCTTTGGCTTTCCAGATGTCGGTGAGTGGCCAGTCCAAGCTGTGATTTTGCTGAAGCAGGTTCAGCCTCCATCTCCAGAAGCAGAAAAAGAACAAAAGCTCCCACCAACCAGCAGTCTCAGTGAGTGAAATTCTCCAAGGGGGATTTGCTAAGAGCGGGGACACGTAATAATAACACGGTGGGGAGAGCTGTGTCACCATTTGTGGAGGAGCTGTGTCACCATTGCAGGGATGTGCAGGGGTTCTGTGTGCTGTGTGCAGATATTCCTGGTGCATGGAATTCCTCGAGCATATGGGAGCTGTGGATTGGGGGTCTGTGTGGGGGGGGGGGTGAGTGGGCTTTCAAGCCTGAAGCATTGATACCTGACCGGCTGTCTTTTGTGTGGAAAAGAGTAGTCTCTTTTAAGAAGGAAAAGCTGCCAACTGCATGTTAACCACTGAATTCTGCAGTTACAAAGAACCTCTCCAGTCATTTAGTTCTTGTTTTACAGAGAAAGAACAGAAAACAGACCAATTCCCTTGGCCAAGGTGACAGTGGGCGCCAGTTGGCAGGGTCTTTGGACCTCCAGCCTAGTAGTTTGGGATTGGAAAGATGGGAGAGATATTCGTGTGTTTAATATTTAAGCCTTTGAATATGATGCTATGTTGAATGGGTTTGATGGGCTAAGAGGAAGCCGGGACAAGCATAAGCTGTAAATGTTATGCTCCCTAAATCTGAATTTCAAAGACCTTGCTCAGAATGACAAGAACAGGTTAAGGCAAATGCTAAATCTTTCACTTTTCAGATTTTAAGGGTAATGGAACCTACCTCCTGTCAAAGAATTGAGGTAGGACAAAAATATCCTAAACACAAATGTTTTTCTGAATTATTCAATTAGAAGAATTTTAATACATGCCAGCCTTTATGGAGTGATAGAATGTTAGGGTGAAAGGTGTTTGGGATGATGTTAATCAGGCTATCAGTTTTAGGGAACACTTGAGACTTGGGTGCAAATGAGCAAGTATTTGGGCCTGGCCAGAGCAATCAATGCCAGAATGGAGGTTACATCCTGGTCTCTGGCTTCCCAGGGCCTACATTTTTCCTTCCCCAGCCACACAGCCACCTGCTGGCTTGCGGCTTCCTCTCAGTTGACTTGACAACAGGGAGAATGGTGCTATCTTCATTCTATTTCCTTTCTTCTTTCTCCTTACCCACAGCCTAGCATTCCCCAAAGGCTGAAGCAGATGGAGTAGCAGCCAGAATGATCCAAAGTAATTAAGCTAACTCAGGGAAGGATTCAATTGTATCAGTGGCATCCTGTTTGCTCTTTGCTTATTTCTGAAGAATTTACTCAAATAAACCTTAGCGTTTACATACCACAATTGTCAAAAAAAAAAAAAAAGTTTTTGTCCCAGCCATCTTTAAAGTAGTGACTGAAAAACCAACACACAAATTAAAAAAAAAAACATACAGAGGATAATTTAATGAACATCCAGGGACTTTTGATCCCAGAACCAATGATTGTTAACACTTTTGTTGTGTCTATGCTTAGTGAAAGTTTTCCAGAGAATTAAAACCAACCAGATGTGTTCTGTTTGTGTGTGTGTGTGTGTGAGAGAGAGAGAGAGCATGAGAGAGAGAGAGAAAGAGAGAAAGCACTGAGCTACCTGTAGTTTACACTATATACATACATGCATGTGGAGAGAGGGAGAGAGAAAAGGGAGAGAGAGCCAGTGAGAGAAAGACAGAGATTTGGAATTGGCTCCCCTGATAATGGGGTCTTGGCCACTCTAAACTCCTTTTTTTTGGGGGGGGTCTGGTTGTGGGGCTTGAACTCTGGGCCTGGGCATTGTCCCTCAGCTCTTCAGCTAAAGGCTAGCACTCTACCACTTGAGCCACAGCACCACTTCTGGCTTTTTTTCCTGCTTATGTGGTGCTGAGGAATCGAACCCAGGGCCTCATGCATGCAAGGCAAGTGCTCTACCACTGAGCCACCTTCCCAGCCCCATCTAAACTCTTAAGAGACTGATTAGCAGGCCAAAGATCCAGGAAAGAGATGCAAATAGAATTCAAAGATTGTCTGTTTGCTTAATTCTTTTTTGTTAGAGAGTGGGGCTGATGAAGTGGTTTATGTGGTAGAGCAGTTGCTTGGCCCTAAGTTCAAATTCCAGTGCCACCAAAAGAGAAAAAAAGAGGCCAATCTAGGTTCTTTCAAATTTTTAACTGATTCTGTAAGGGTCATACACATTATGTAGGCCAATCGACTATACTCAAAGGGTATCAATTTAAATGTTAATTTCACAGAAACATCTAGAACAATCTTTGGTCAAATATCTGTTCACAGCAGCCCATCCAAGTTGATCCATAAAAGGAACCATCACAATGCACTTGAACAATCCTTATACAGTTGATTGCTGTTGATGACTCTCCCTGACTACTCCCTCTGATAATGATCATCTCTCTTTCTAAATGCCTTTTTGTGACTTCAGGCCTCTTTTGACCCTGTTGTCTGGTCTTCAGTTTCTGATTCAATGTTGGAATGGACATCAAAGCCAAGATCACCTTTCATGGGGCTTTCAAGGACTTCCTGGCCGTGGGGAAAGGAGTTATGGGTGATTGTATAGAGAACTCCGTCATCAGCTCTCCTGCCAGGGCAGACGTGCTGGAGTCCCCGTTGAATGCACACTGGAAACCTCTAACCTATTCAGATCACGCTCATTCCTGATCTATTCCACTCAAATAGCCTGATCCATGATATCGTGAGTCACATCTGTTTTACATGCCAGATTCTTGTGAAGATAAGTTCATGCTAGAAAGGAGTAAACAATACCAGGTAGACACAGGTACAGTGCTCTAGCCTCTGAGCCCCTTTCTTATCTTGTACCTGCTGGATAAGAGACCTCAACTCTGTGTACTCTTGGTTCCCTTCCACAACTTCACACTCCGTGACGGGTATTTGGAGCAACAGCATCCCTAATTCAAGTTCTTTCTGATTTGCTGCTTTGGCTTCCAGGCTGCTCCTGGGAGGCAGGGTCTTCCTGAAGGATATCAGGTGCAGTGTAAGCTGCGGACACCTGGCTCAGAGGAGGCGGCCTTCAGACATGGAAAGAAAGCTCCTAAAGAAGGAAGTGAGAAAGCTGCTGTGAGTATTATCCGGAATGACTTTCATGTATGGTACTTGGCATTTGGTAGGTTTTCAGAGATGGTCTGGAGATTGGCCAGTAGGTACAAAGCTAAGGAAGAATGTATTTATTCAGAATAGGAGGAAGGCAGATGGTTTGGCCTCTGCAAGTGGGGCCTCACAACGACGGGAGGCAGGGAGCTGAATCTCCGGAGGTTGCCTTTGCTTTTGCCTGGGAGGTTCCCAATTCTCCAGTTAGCAGGTGGGGACAGAATGTGCCATTGATTCCAACCTCACAAGTAGAAGATGTACAGAGATTCTTAGAAGAGCCTAGTATTTAAATTACAATGTGTCTCTCTTGCTGTCAGTCTTCTCTGCTAACTTATCTCCTTTTTCTTAGCATGCAACTAATCTACCAAGTTTCCTATAGAAGAGAAGATAAATTCTATTCTATAAGTCTCAGTCATAACAATATCTTGGCCATTTAAAGTATTATCACAGATCCCCCCACCCAAAAAAAATGCCCTATCACAGACCCCCCCCCCAAAATGCCCTTTCTCTGACTGGATCAAACCATGTATGAATTCACATGTTTATGTATATGTGTGGAGGTCATAATAATACTAAAGAACAAACCATAATCAGGATTGCCAACTTCTCTTCTTATCTCATCTAAAGAATTATAATTTGAAACTGAAAGTACACTTTTATATAGCCAAAGACTACATTTTGGCTGATTTAAAGTGCTCTGGAATATCACAATAAAAATTCAAAAAGTTTGGCTGAGCGCCAGTGGCTCATGCCTATAATCCTAGTGGCTCAGGAGACTGAGATCTGAGAAACATAGTTCAAAACCAGCCCAGGCAAGAAAGTCCATGAGACTCTTATATCCAATTAACTACCAGAAAACCCAAAGTGGCACTGTGGCTCAAGTGGTAGAGTGCTTGCCTTGAGCTGAAGAGCTCACAGACAGTGTCCAGGCCCAGAGTTCAAACACCATGATCAACAACAACAAAAAAAATTCAAAAAGTTTTATCTATCTTAAAAGAAAGCTTTTGAGCTAGGTGCTGGTGGTTGCTGCCTATAATCATGCCTACTCAGGAGGCTGAGATCTGAGTATCATGGTTTGAAGCTAGCCCAGACAGAAAAATATGTGAGACTCTTATCTTCAATTAGCCAGCAGAAAAGCTAGAAGTAGAGGTGTGGTTCAGGTGGTAGAAAGCCAGCCTTGAATGAAGTGCCCAGGTCCTGAGTTCAAACCCCAATACAGGAACATACACATACAAAAGGAAAAAAAGGGCGGGGGTTAGAAGCCAGAAACAAACCTAATCTTCACATCATAGCAGCCAGCCCTAGTGTGAGGAACAGATACACAACTAGCCTCATATTACATGGGTGATTTTCCAGGATCAGCCTCAACCTCAGAGACTCTAGAATGATTTCTTCATGCACAGTTACTCTCTCTTCTGTTATTAACATCACTGTTAGGAGAGGATCTGATAGAGACATGCTAACAGAATTACTAAGGTTTTATGCATTACTCTTTTAAGGGTATCTATAGGCTAATATGAAAAGGCCTTAAGGAAAAGAATGCATCTCTAAAACATTATCTGTGTCTAGAATTTATCAGCTTTGGTATTCCTCCTGAATGTACAATGGGCAGCAAGTGAATCTTTATTTTAAATAGGATTAAGACTAGGATCAATCTTAGTCTTGCTGAAATCCTCTGGTGAATCCTGCTTTCCTGCAGATTCTATCTGAATGATAGGTTTAAAGTTTTAGATAAAATGTGATTTAAGTTAAGTATGGTTAGCGGTTCATCATAAGTTTCCTGTAAACCAAAACTGAACATTAACATAGCCACCAGACTATGGGGTGACAGCTGTTGTATTTTGGGCTGGGAGGGAGGGTTTGGGAAGGAAGCTGGGCAGATTGAGCCCCTGTCTCACCCACAAAGGTTCAATACTGCTCTCTTGCTTTTAAGGAGAGATTATATTGGCATCAGACTTCGGGAAAATGAATTTGACCCAAAAGGAAGAAGGCAACTCTCCATTCTAGATGATGTGGTAAAGAAAGGCATGCTGATGCTGAATTGTGTAATGTGTTTTAAATGTGTACAATAAGCCAGGCTACTATTACACACACACACACACACACACACACACACACACACACATACACACATACTTGTCCTCTTACTCATCTTCTCATTCTAAGTTTGTATGGTTATTTTGACTCATTGAATAAAAAGCCAATGAGAATACAAAAGTCCTTTTAGGGAAGAAAAATTAAAACCCAAATGAGGGCAAAAATGTTACATTCATAATAATAAAAAAAATCAAAGCTGAGTATGGTAATTTATAGTGGTTACTTGAGGAGTCAAGGTAAGAAAGATTAAAGTTTCAGCCCAGCTTGAGCAGAAAAATTTATAAGACTTCATCTCAACAGAAAAATCTGGGCTGCTAGTGCTTACCTGTCATCCTATCTGTGGAGAGAGGCATAAAATAGGATTGTAGTCCAGGCTGGCCTGAACAAAAAGCAAAATTTTATCTAAAACATAACTAAAGAAAAGGCTGTGACAAATGTAGAGGGCTGAACCCATCAAGCACAATCCCCTTAGTTCAGATTCAAACCCCAGCACCAACAAAAACAACAACAAAACACCTCCACAAAATATCCCCTTTCCGTTGAAATTACCTTTCAGGTACTTCTAAAACACAATCATGTCCTTGTCATTAACATTAGTGGGAAAAAGCAAAGCAATGCATAATCCTTCATTTGTTGTATTGTTCCTGTGAAATCCCAAGTTCATGTTAGGCTCTGTTAGCTCACTTCACAGGAATTGAGGAAGCAATTGCAGAAAGATGAAATTCAGGGCTGGGAATGTGGCTTAGTGGTAGAGTGTTTGCTATACATGAAGCCCTGGGTTCAATTCCTCAGTACCACATAAACAGAAAAGGCCAGAAATGGCTCTGTGGCTCCAGTGGTCAAGTGCTAGCCTTGAGCAAAAGGAAGCTCAAGGGCAGTGCCCAGGCCCTGAGGAAGAGAGAGAGAGAGAGAGAGGGAGAGAGGGGGGGAGGGAGGGAAGCTCTCTGACTTCTAGTACTTGCTTGGAGCTCAGTTTGAAGCTAAGCCTCACTCTATACACACATTAAACAGAGAAATTAAGTAGATCACTGCTATGCTTTTCATACTTTAATGAACTTGATTATAGTGCTGTTTAATTGAGGAGGTCAGGGACTTGGGTTGTTTTTTATTTTGTTTTTTACTTTTTTAATGTTATTAGTAAAGTGATATACAGAGAAGCTACCTACCATTTGGGGATTTGGCTTTGATATTCTGGATTGAATCTCAGGCTGACTCCAGCTTCCCTTATTTTTTTTTTAATTTGTTTTGGTTTATATTTCATTTTCCTTGCCTCTGGGAAGAAATAATTCTATCACTTAGAGTTGTTAGAAACTTAGAACCCTAAAAGCCAAAGCCAAATCAAACCTTCCTCTTACTGGGATAGGGAAGCAGGAAGGAATATATTTTGATAGGCACATGGTAAATATACTTATTAAATAAAATCTCTTGGAAATTACCAAGAAAAGATCACATTAGGAATGATTGCTCCAGCTGGCTCTCAGCATTATATTTGATCACTTAATCATTTCTACCTCTGGGCCTTTGCTCATGCTGGTCCTTGCACCCAGGATTTCCTTCTCTGTCTATAGAAACTCCCATTCTTCAAGTATGAGCTCCAAGAAAAGCTCATAGAATTGGCCCAACCTCCCCAAATAGACACATCGAATTCCCACACCACCCCACCTGCATTCCAAAAGCACTGTCCTAGCACTGTACAGAATCTCTGAAACTTCATCCCTCAATGCCATCTGGGGGGGGGGGGACAGGGGGAATGGCCAAAGGGCATCAATCACTCACCCAAGAATATGAAACAAGTTGTTGACAATTCCTAGATAGGAGCCCAGATTTCCCAGTTGCCAGTTTAATATGCTTTCCATTCATCCATTCTTTCTTTCCTGGCCCACACAAAACCAATGACTGGTCTAGGGGAAGCTACCTTCAATGCTTGTGGATCCTTAAGTATTTATGGCCGACCATCAGGACATTAAATTTAGGAAAGGACCCTGCTCATTTTGGACATGATAAAATAGGACAGTCTTAGCAAGGCCATTGTCATTGAGTCCAGGGTGTCCTTTGGGCACTGGCTAAACCCGTTCTTCTGTCTCTGTTCCCTCCTTCCAGGCGCACTATGACTTGGCCATCAGCGTCGCGCTGCAATGGCTGGGTCACTCAGAAGACTTAACTTGGCTGGAGCGGGAGGCCAGGTAAGTTGAAATACATTTGTTGCTTTTCTCTTTAATGTGACTCTGATGTATGATGGAGGAAATTCCATCCCTCTCCAGCAGCTTCCCACATGAGTAGGAAACACTTCCAGGGTGAATGTTCCCTTCACCTAGAAACCTTAGGAACCCACACATTGTCAGCCTGTGGGAGTCGCCAATGTGTTTGTCTTTTTCATAGTGGTTAAAAGCTGCCGTCTCTCCTGAGCTCTATCAAGCACAGTTTCTGGAACATGAAGCGACAGATACCTGAGCTGAGATGTTTGAATGAGGGAATAATTTTCTTTACCAAGATTATTCTTTTTCTCCCATGTAGTAGCCAGGAAGACTGACTCAATTGGTCAAAACAGGGAACTACTGAGGCCAGGAACCCATGGCCTATTCCAAAAGTCAGTTATTCCTCTGTTCTGTGGTCTCCAACTCCACATCTGTTCCTGGATGAAAATTCCAGTTAGGGTTTGATTGTAAGAACCAGAAAATCCAGTTTGAATAACCTTAAGCAAGCAAGTAAGCAAAGCAAATAAACAATTAAAAAAAACAGGCCAATTTAATTGCCTCTATCTGAAAAGTGTGTGGCTAGGTCTGTGTTTGACATAGTATCAGTCAAACACAGCTGATGTCACCAACACCTACCATTTGCTTCTGTTTTCTCTGAGTAGACACCATTCTTAATCTTATATCACGTTATTACAGCATTTAGTGCAGGGGAGGAGGAATCTAATGAAAACACAGAATTGTGTCTCAGTGGTTTCATTTGCCCAGGCTTGTCTGGGATGGAACACACTGGCTCATTTAGTCTTCAGTGTGCTTTCCATTCTTGGAATCATGTTTTTTGCCTCCCCCAGAAATACAGAGGCTTACGTTAGCGCCAGGAAATTGCCACACGATAGAGTGAGGGTCCTGGTTAGCAAAGCCATAAACCTCTACCACAGTGGCCAGTGGGCTAATGTTTGCTAGCTGCATAAGCAAGAGGAAACAGGACAAGTTCATTGTCATTACTGGAAATCCTAGGTAGTTGGGGGGTGTGGAATCAAGTTTTGAAGCTAGCCTCGGCTTAAAAATGTTCTAGTATAAAAATTCAAGAGAGGGACTGGGAAGGTGGCTCAGTGGTAGAGCGCTTGCCTTGCATGCATGAGGCCCTGAGTTCGATTCCTCAGCACCACATAAGCAGAAAAAAAAAGCCAGAAGTGGCGCTGTGGCTCAAGTGGTAGAGCGCTAGCCTTGAGCTGAAGAGCTGAGGGACAGCACCCAGGCCCAGAGTTCAGGCCCCAAGACCAGACCCCCCCCCAAAAAAAAAAAGTTCAAGAGAGCTGAACACCAGTGACTCATGCCAATAATCCTAGCTACTTAAGAGGCTAAGAGGCTAAGATCTGGAGATCATTTTTCAAAGCCAACCCCAGGGAAGAAAGGTCTGAGACTCTCATCCTCAATTAATCAGCATAAAACCAGAAATGGAGCTGTGGTTCAAGTGGTAGAGTGATTGAACAACAACAACAAAAAGCCAAAGGATAGTAACCAGGCCCTGAATGTAAGTCCCAGTATTGGTGTGTGTGCACATGCACATACATATATACACACACAAAATACACACAGAATCAAGAAGATTCTGTCTTAATCAGTGGCTAGACTGGGTGGCATGTACCTATCCTCCAGGTGACAAAGAGAGGGTGTCCAGGCTGAACTAAACAAGAAGACCCTATCTTGAAAATAACCAATGCAAAATAAGACTAGAGGAATGGCCCAACTGTTAGAGTGCCTGCTTAGCAAGCACTGAATTCAAACTGGTATTGAAAACACATACACACACATACACATCCAAAGTGTTTTACTAGCAAAGAGTCAACACTTCAATGTTATAAATCAGTGGTAGCAAAAACAAGGTTGGCGTGTGGCTCAGATGGTAGAATGCTTGCCTAGCAAGAACAAGGCCCTGGATTCAATCCCCAGGACTGTAAACAAGACTAAACCCACCATTCTTATTTATATTCCCCCTTAGGAATATGCCGTTTCATGGCAGACCCATGTATCCAAACCGCAGAGAACGAGAAGCAATGATTTTGTCATCCTATGCTGGAATCTTAATGGTAAGGAACACTATTTGGATGGATGGATGGATGGATAGATCACGTCTACTGTATGCATTTTTATATTCATGAATATTTATGGTATTTTTCCAACCAATACTTCTAAATGTTTAGTATTTACTCATAACAAACATCTCATTTTTAAGACAAAAAAAGAAGAAGCTGGGTACAGGTGGTTCATGCCTGTACAATCCTCACAACTCAGGAGGCTGAGATCTGAGGATTGTGGTTCTAAGCCAACCCAGGCAGGAAAGTCCATGAGACTCTATCTCCAGTTAACTACCAAAAAGTTGGACATGGAATTGTGGCTCTAGTGCTAGCCTTAACATAAAAATTCAGGAACAGCGCCTAAGTCCTGAGTTCAAGCCCCAACACACACACACACACATACACACACACACACACACACACACACACTTCCTCACTGCCCATGCTATGACACACAGTATTAGAACTGGAACTATGAGAGCTTTGTTTTACAATAAGAGAAAAGTTGTGATGTGACAATATACTGTCGTTGTTGTTTAACAGAACAGTGTTCCAATTGAAGAAGTCTTTAAAATCTATGGAGCTGATTCTGGTACTACCAAGGTAAGGGATTTTGCGAGAGATTATTAAATTTATACATGTATAATGCTATATTTTTGGACATCCATTATGAAATAACAGTTCTATACAAAAATCTACACTATATTCCTTGAGTACATATACACTTTAGTGGAGGATAGCATGGTTACAGCACAGTAATCCTGGGTGTTGTTTCTAGCCTTTGTGAGTGTCTGGTTCATTTGTAAAAGCTGAGAAATAGGTGGGATTGTGGGCATTGAGGGAATAGCAATGAAGCCCTAGTGTTTAGTGCATGTAACTTCAGAATGATAGTGATAATTAAGGCTCTGGTACTCAAGGGCTGGTTATCTGGTTTCTATGTTCCTCTGTATTGGGCTTTAAAAAAATATTTTAAATTGTTATTATAAAGGTGATATATAGAAAGGTTACAGTTACATAAGTCAGGTAATGAGTACATCTATTTGGACAATGTCACTATTATGCCTTTCCTCACTCTCTCCCAGTATATTGGAATTTTTATATTTGTTCCAGATAATTATCTTTGACATGTATAGAGAGTCTTGGGATTGGAGTTAAGGACTATCAGTGGGATGTTCACCTGCCTCCCTGGCCTGTACCTGTCAGAAGCAGGTACACTTTCTCCAGCTGTGACAATAAAAAATGTCTCCAGATTTCCCTGACAGACAAAAATCACATTTAGTTGATAACCACTGCTCTAAATATCAAAAAGATTAAATAGCTAATTAAGCGTCTGTGTGTACTATTAACCAGATGTAAACTTTGTCCTCTCTGGATAAGGAGTCATCATGAAGGGTAAGAGTTGAGGAAGCAATATATGCATCTGAGGCTCTCTATGGAAACCCACAAGCTCCTCCTCCCTCCCTCAAGAATTGTCACCGTGCACCTCCCCCACCCCTTTCTCTTGTGGCTGCCCTCTATCCCTTTTCTCCTAGTCTTTCTCCACATACTAAAGAAAGAACTGGCAGGACCTCTCAGTGGAAGTGTAGCATTTCTCAAATTAAACTTTCAAATTATAGTCCTTTGGGGTGACATATAATTTTTTTAGGGGGTAATGGTTTTAAATAGGGGACAGAGTTGGTTTAAAAAAAAAAAGATACTGCAAAAGTCCTTTAATTGCTGTATATCTGAAATGACCTTCTGTTCTTTTGGATAAAATGTCACCTAAACAACAGCTAAAATCCTTCCCAAGTAAAGGCTTGAAGCCCCGTTGAATACTAAGCAGATTATGGAGAATTTCCAGCAACTGGAATGTCCAGTGATACAGTGTGGGAACTGGACTCAGACTCCATGGTTTTCATCAAGATTATTTGCTGCCACCAGGTGGTAGAAAGATATCACAGCCTCAGAGTCCCGCCTGATATCCAGCTGTGCTTTTTGTACCCAGGACTCCATTTGTTAGGAAATGGAAAGACTTGGAAAAAATCATACTAAGTGAAGTAAGCCAGACCCAAAGAAATATAGGTCCCATGGTTTTCCTCATTTGCAATAACTAGTATACATCTAGGATAAGTTTATCAGATGAGCAGAAAAGCTTAAAAGCTATGTACATATGGCCATATAAGATGATGCTAAGCGAAATGAACCCCAAAATATGACACAAGAGGTCTTTCTTCATTGTTGTTTTTAATGTACTATGTGATTTTTTTGTTTCTTTTGCATGTTCTTCCCCCTATGGTATATTCCCCTGTTGTCACTATAATAGATTTTGGTACCCTATATCTTGTATATACATTTATCTAATTTGGGAAGAGGAAGGGGAATAACAAAATACTGAAACAAGGATACAAGATGACTCATTGCTACAATGATACCCACAAGATGCTATGTTGGAAATGAACTTTACAACTTCTGGTGGTGGGGAGGAGTGAGGGAGGTGGGAGAGGGAAGGTATAGTGGGAGAATAACAAAGGAGGAGGTAACAATGTACCACAAGAAATGTTCTCATTGCCTTACTCATGTGACTGTAGCCCCTCTGTACAGCATCTTTACAATAAAAGCAAAAAAATTAAATCAACTAAAACCTTTACATAAGTAAGGGCTATTACCTTCAGATAAATAGAAAATATCCTACTAAATTGAAACTGAAAAAAAGCATATATTTTCCTTTAGCCAATAAAGCAAGTGATCAAAATATTCTTTGGGAAAGTGCTAGTGGCATTACTCAAGTGGTAGAGCACTTGGCTAGCAAGTGGGAGGCCCTGAGTTCAAACTCCGGTACCACAAACAACAACAACCAAGAAACCATCTCGCTACTTCAGAGGCTGAGACCAGCCAGGTGGGGGGAAAACTGCATGTGATTCCATCTCAACCATGCCTATCCTCTTGGCTACAAAGGAAGCACAAATAGGAGGATCTCAGTTCAGGCTGGCCCAGGTATAAAGACCAGACCCATTTGAAAAACAAATCAATGGCTATGGGTGTGGCTCAAGTTGTACAGTACTTACCTTGCAAGCACAAAGCTCTGAATTCAAATCTCCGTGCCACCAAAACAAACAACAAACCTCCTTAGCTCCATTTGATGGAGGAAAAGGAGGTGGAGATCCTCAGAAAGAAGGAGGAGAAACAAAGCCCTGGAGAGAGAAGGACAAGGGCCTCTGCCTTCCTTCTGGCTTTCTAACGTGCATCCCAGGTTCTAGGACTGCCCTGTGCATCCGGCCTATTCAACACCCAAAGCCCGAAGCATGGTTTCAAAGGCAAACAGACTGGCCCACGTCTTGCTAGCTGTGTGGCCTCTGATAAGTTATTCAGTGTCTCTGATCCCCAATTTGTCATAAGGTAAACAAATATGCATGCACAAATAGGCATGCGTATACTTAACCCAGCCACACCAGACTTCTTTTCAGAGCATGCATGTCAAGCACATGATGGGGCCATGCGGAGCCTTCCATAGCAGTGTTATTATTCCCAATCCCACCTCCATTCCTGACAGCAGCCTGTTTTCCTCGCAGTAATCTGTGTTCCTCCCTCTCTCCCTTATAATAGCAGTCTGCCAAGGAATTTCTCTTCTTAGAGGATGTTGACCCTGACTGGATTATACAGACCTCTGAAAGGGGTTTTATGCCTACTTTTATTGATGGATTGATGGATTGATTGATTGATTGTGACAGTGCTGGTGCTTGAACTCAGGACCTGGGCACTGTCCCTTAGCTTTTTTGCTCAAGGCTGGCATTCTATGTCTTGAGTCACAGTTCTACTTCTGGCTTTCTGAGGATGGGGAGAGGTGGTTAATTGGAGATAGTTTTGTTGACTTTCTTGCCCTGGCTGGCTTTGAACCTTAATCTTTGGATCTTAGCCTCCTGAGTGGCTAGGGTTGCAGGTATGAGCTGTTTCTGACACAAATTCTCTCTTGAGTACCTCCCTACTTAAAGCCTCTCATCTTTCCTGGGCTCACAATTATATATCACCACATCCAGCTTCCCTTTATGAAGCTGGAGTCTGGCAAGCTTTTCTTCCTGGGAGGAGAGAGAGAATGAAAGAGAGAGAGAGAGAATTTAGATTCCCTGGTTTTAATTAGTTTTATGTCAGCAAGTCATTCAACCTTTCTCTGGTAGATGAGCATGATCCTGTACAGGAATGGTGACCATGAAACCGCTGATTACTTTTTTTTTTTATGGCTATACCAGGGCTTGAACCCAGGACTTCATTTGCTCTGGCTTGCCTGCTTGGTTTGAGCTCTACCACTTGAGCCATACCTCCAGTCCTGATTTTTGCTGGCTCTTTTGGAAATGTTATCTCTCAGACATTTCTACCAGAGCTTGCCTCAAATTATAAGCCTCCGGATCTCAGCTTCCTGAGTAGGTAGGATGACAGGCTAGAGCCATCAGCCTTCAGATCTGCCACAGGACTCCTTTGGAAGGTTAGAAATGATGGTGATGATGAGAAATACAAAAAGTAATTATCACCATCATCATTGTGAAAGCTAATATTCAGGATTGTATGATGTGTCAGGTATTATTCAAAGCACTTTATTTTTGTTCAATCTTTACGCCTTACTAGGACCCCATGAGGGGTCACCAGTATTATTAATATCACATAAAAAAACAGGCACAGAGAAGCTATGTAACACACCTAAGGTCACACATATTGTAAATGGTGGGGCTTGTGTTAAATACAGTTTGGTACTAAAATTGATGCCGTTAACCAGTAATGTCTTGACTAAAATGGCAATTATCAAACTAGTCAAGAACATCTGGGGCTACTATGTGCTAGGCCCTCTGGTAAGGCTCTGGGGCTAAAATGTTAAACTAACTGGTCTCCTTGCTTCCATTCTCCAACCTATTCCCCCCATAACAGTAAAGAGATTTTCTTTCCTTCCTTCCTTCCTTCCTTCCTTCCTTTCTCCTTCTCTCCCTCTCCCTCTCTCCTTCTTTCTCTACTTCCTTCCTTCCTCCACCCTCCTTCCTTCTTCCCTCCCTCCCTCCCTCTCTCCCTTCCTCTTCCCTCCTTCCTTCCTTCCTTTCTTCCTTGCTTCCTTCCTTCCTTCCTTCCTTTTTTTTGTGCTGGTACTGGGATGGGAGCTCAAGGCTTTGTGCTGTTATTTGGATTTTTTGCTCAAGGTTGGCACTGCACTACTTGAGCCACTTCTAAACTTCAGGCTTCTTTCTGGCTGGTTCATTGGAGACAAAAGTCTCAGAGACTTGTCTGCTCAGTCCAGCTATGAACCTCAATCCTAAAATCTTGGCCTTCTGAGCAGCCAGGATTAGAGTTAGGAGCCACCAATATCCAGCCTCCTTTTTTTTTTAAATTAATTAATTTTGCAATGCTGAGGGTGGATCCCAGGACATCTTGCATGCTAGACAAGTGCACTACCCTGAACTGCCCTCTAGCTCCAGAGAGACCCTTTTCAAAAGCCTGTCAGACCTTGTCACACCAATGCTTAATAATATTTTAGGCTTCTCAGGGCACCCAGAAAGCCACAGCAACGTGCAGCTGTGAACATGGATCATCAGGGAGCCACATGATCTATGTCTCATTCCCCAACTCTCATGTTCCCTTCAGCCTCTGCCTCACCCTGGCTTGCTTTCTGAATGGGGAAAGCATTGCTGATCTCCCCAGGTGTAACTACCCTGGTTATCTTGTATTTAGCTCAAGGCTTCTCTCTCCGGACTCAGCCCCAGAGAAACAGAAGTGAGGGCCTGGCCTCCGGCAGGTCTCACTAAATGCAATCTGAAAGGGCAGGGACAATCCTAGCCTTAAAGGCCGTCTGATACACTGCTGTGCGATGACAAACCACACTCGTGATCTTGTTCTGTGTGACTCCATGCTTGGCTACAGGGAAAATCAGTCATGAGGTTGGGAAGAGACTAGGGGAAGCAGGGGCAGGGAAAGTTTCTCCAGAAAGAGGATGTTTGAGCCGCATCACAGAGGAAAAGCAGGCAACTTCAGGCAGAAAGGGAGGAAGTAGCTTACCCAGAAAAGTATGAAATAGGAACGAAGGACAAGAGCAAAGGCAGGGTGTCAAGTTCACGGTTTCACAGGTTGCATCTATGGGCCATTTGGTAAAGTCTAGGAACTCTGGATCGGTTAAACAGGTGGTAAGAGGCAGGTGTTAACCCTACAAAGTATCAGCAGGACTGTTTTGCTTTCAGGCTCCCCGGGCTCCCTTGTTCCGTTCCTTGCACCCCTTTGCCATGCTGACGGCCCCCACTGCAGCAGAATACTCCGGGAAACAGAGTAAGCCCATCCGCTCCACCTGCACAGAGGAACTGAAGTAAATTGGGAGGAGGGAACATGGGAAAAGGCCAACATCGTAATGCCAACTAGATTTCCACCTGGTGGAGCTGAAAGAAGTAGGAGCTTTGCTGACCGGAAATCCTTCCCCCATTACCAAAATCAGACCCTTTTGTGAGAGAGCAAAGCAGTCTCGGGGGGAAGACCTAAAATTGTGGGTGGACACATGTGTGTGTGTGTGTGTGTGTGTGTGTGTGTGTGTGTGTGTGTGTGCTAGTAATGAGGGCTTAACTCAGGGCCTCACACTCTTGCTTAATTTTTTCACTTAAGGCTGGTGTTCTACCACTTGAGCCATATCGCCACTTCCAAAAACATTTCTTTGTGTGTGCTGGTACTTGGGGACAGGACAGTGCACCTTAACTTTTTGTGCTCAAGGCTAGTACTCTATCACTTGAGCCACACCTCCACTTCCATATGGTAGGCCACCTTAAAAAAAAAGTGTGTGTGTGTGTGTGTGTCCTGGAACTGGGGCTTGAACTCCAGGCCTTGAGCTCTTACTTGGCTTTTTTGCTCAAGGTTGGTGTTCTACTATTTGAGCCATACCCACACCTCTAGCTTTTGGCTGGCTAATTGGAGAGAAGAGTCTCAAGAATCTGTGTGCCCCAAATTACTTCAAATCTGAAACCTTACATCTCAGCTTTCTGAGTAGCTAGTTTTACAGGCATAAGCCACTGGCTCCCAGCATTTTTAAAGTTTGGTATCCAGCTATGTTACTACCTGTATCTACAGGCGTCAAGTTAAGAAGGAGAACAACGAATAAAAACATCACCAGCCATTCTGCAAAGGAAATACCTAACACAGGATGGAAATTATCAAAAAACTTCTCACGCTTACTACCAAAGAACAAAGTAAGTGTGAACGTCTATATTTACACTGGCCAACTTGATAACAGATACTTTGTCAGAACTTACCTTTATGTCATCTTTGGAGAAGCTCCGAGGTGGAATCTAGAACCTGTGCTTACCGGATGTCTGGCTTTGGACAGGCTCCGTAACTTCTCTGGGCCTTAGCCCTCCTTCCTCTATACCCTTACATGGGCAGAACAATGCTATCTACCTCCTACACTGGGCAAATGAGTGTTCAAAGGCTTGAATGGTGCTTGGCCTAGAGTAAACCCTAAATAGATATTAGCCATGATTAATTTTTCAGTAGTTGAAAACTCATGCCCAAGTTAACTGGCTGTTTTCCCGTTGGTTCAAATAAGAAGGTTTATATTCCTTTTTGCCCTGTAGTTTCCAGAGTGGTGATAAAGGGAGAGGCTGTCTTGTTGCCAAGACGTTGTCTTGGCCGTGACCTTGGCCAAGGTTCAGAAAGCAAGCTATCTTAGAGCTCTTCCACGTAGCCTTAACACCCCAACTCCTTTCCTAGTAATAGTCCCATCTCAACACTCTCTTAGAAAATGATGTTTCTCATACCCATTTGGATTAATAAATGAGCTACTAATGCCAATACATATTTAAATATGTATTAATATTTAAACCTGTTTTCCAAAAAACCTCCTAGACTTAAGAAAAAAATAGTCCTTTCTCTTATTTTAATGAAGAAATCAGGTGGGCTGGAAGCAAATACAAAATTCTGAATAAAGTCTTATCTTGGCTCTCCCCCCCCCCCAATTTGGGTGAGTCACTTAATCTGTTATGCTTAAGTTTGTCATTTGTGAAAAAAAATGATAATATCCCTTACCTCATAGAGTTTTTACAAGAAGCAAATGAGTTAAAGTATGTGTAAAGGCTCAGAGAAGGGCTAAAGTCATGGCCAGCAATAAGACAACTTCTCCCTTTATCAACACTCTACCCACACTACCATGGAAGGAAACAGGACAGAGAGAAGGCAAAGAGAGTATAGATTCAAATCGATACATACTACAATAATATGACACAAACATAACCTTTAACTTGGAAGTTGCTGAAAAAGAACTGACTTTGGGTAGGATTAATAGAACTTATCTGCGTGTGTATACGTGCACATGCCTGTCCCAGGGCTTGTACTCAGGGGCTGGGTGCTGTCCTAGAGCTTTGTTTCCCAAGACTGGTGCTCCACCACCTGAGCCACAGTTCACTTCTGGCTTTTTTTGTGGCTAATTGAAGATAAGAATCTCACAGACTTTCTTGCCCTGGCTGGCTTTGAACGTGATCCTCAGATCTCAGTCTCTTGAGTAGCTTGGATAATAAGCATGAGACACTGGTACCAGGCAAACTTAGCTTTTTGTTTTTGAAAACGATTTCAAGCTTAGAGAAAAGCTGTATAAACAGAACAAGGAATCCACACAGTTCTTTTACCCAGATCATTATTGTTAATGTTTTGTTCTATACTTCATCATTTTATCCCTTATCTTTCTCTCTTCTTGTATAGATATCAGTCTGTGATATTTTCTGAGTCATTAGTGACACACATTGTGTCATTCAACCCCCATAAACTTCAATTTTATTTTCTAAGAACAAAGTCATTCTCTTAAATGACCACCTTACATTATCAGCTTCAAAGTATCTTACATTGGTAAGTTTTCTGTTGCTTGTTTGCCAGTACTGGGGCTCGACCTCAGGGTCTAGACGCTGTCCTCTAGCTTTTTCACTTACGGCTTGCACTCTCCCACCTGAGCCACACTCTACTTCTGGCATTTTGGTGGTGACTTGAATATAGGAGTCTCACAGACTTTCCTGTCCAGGCTGACTTCAAACTGCAATCCTCAGATGTCAGCCTCCTAAGTAGCTAGGAATACAGTCATGAGCCAATGGCACCAAGCACATTGGTACTTTTTTCTCATCCTCCACCGATGTAGCAGTTGGGTCAATTGACAAATTGACCCAATAATATCCCCTTTCAGCATTTTCCATTCTATACAGGATCTAGAGAGAGAGATTGTCTATTCCATTCAGTTGAGAAATATAATTAAATTTCCCACTCTATCAAAATAGTTTCATGGAAATACTTTTTTTGGAAATACTTTTTTAATCTACATTTGAGTCCATCTTTGTCACTTAGTATCTGATATTTGCCTCTCACTTCCTATCAATTGAAAGCTAGCGTTTATTTGATGTGCGCATTATATTGATGTGCTTGATACCAAAATTATCTTTTCATTTTGCAGGTCACTTAGAACTTGGATTTGAATCCTGGTCCGTCATTGACAAGGCCTCTGGGAGGAGATTTTTAAAAAAGCATCTCAAAACGGCAGCCCTGGCAGCATGCTTTACTTTAGATTTAGCTTTTGATGCAAATTGTATTGGATGCTGTTTTTAATATTGAGCTTTCTTCTCTTATAAGTATATGGCACAACTCTGTTTTGTCAAAGAGAAAAAAATATAGCTTATGCTGCTTCATTGTGACTGGAAAACTTAGATAATTCAGAAAGCATATGATATGTCTGTGTCCAAGCAGGCAGCTGGCTTTATATACATTTTACAAGTGTTTAGCATTGAATGTTGAGCAGCGGTGGAAGAGGAGGCAGTGTTGCAGAGTTTTAATCCAAAATAAAGAATAATCTGCGATTGATTTCTTTTATTATATTCCTAAATGGAAAAATAAAATAAAATCATTTCAATAAAGCATTAAAGAAAAATGGGTACAAGCTTTCTCTCAGTGGACTATAATGGCTAATAGGAAAAGAAAATGTTCTGTTGTTTTGATAGCTTCCCAAAATACTGATTAGGCATGGCTTAGCCTGTTAATGTTTGTAATGACAATGATCAAGTGAACTTCAGCACAGTATCCTTCTTCAAGTTTGGGCATTCCAAACTGTCTTCCCTCCTGCAGAACAGTTGCGTTACTGTGTGCAAAAACACATCTGGGTTTATTGATTGCTGCAGAAAATGGTGGTGTATTTCCATGTGGAGTTGTGGCTGAGGAGACCACAATGGCCATTTGTACACTGAGCTTGATCTCAGTTGTTCCTGAGATTTGCCAGGAGACTTGCAGCATTAGGATGGAGGCAGAGGCAAGCTCAAGTGACTTGTAGTCCCTGTACACACTGCCATGGCTCTACCCTATGACTACACCCAGTTTTCTTTTGTCCAGTTCTGCTAGTTAGAAGAGGATAGTTTTTCTTGCTGCCTTTTGCTACCTCTCCTCTTACCATCCACACAGTTGTTGTAAGTGTTGCTGCATGTTTTCAGAAACAGCATTGTGAATGTATTGCTAGCTGTAGTTAGATATCTTTTTAGATTCCCTCCATGGGACAGAAGCACAAAGGAGGTTGATTTCATCTTCACACATATGCAGGCATGGAATGACAAAAGACAATCTGAAGTTTGGATCATTTTCTACCTCTGCATAGCTGATAGGGCTCACACTCAGTAGCAGACAGAAATGGGAAAAGCTTTTCAAGTAGTCACTGGATTCAGTAACTTTGATGAGGAAAACACCAGGCAAATTGTAACACTAGTTATAAAATTAAAAGGCAATTCTGGATGAAGGGTGGCCATGGGAGGGGAGTGAAAGGATTCTGTGCATTTTCCTATTTTATAAGTGTCTCCTGCTCTTGGATGATCTATCTATCTGTCTGTCTGTATATTTATTTATTGATATTACTGAAGTTTGAACTCAAGGCCTTATGCTTGCTGGGTTCATGGTTGGAGCTAGACCTCCAGTTCAAATGTTTATTTTCAAATGAAGAGTTTATTATGTAAACACTTGGAAATATATCTATTTCCAAAAAATATTTTTACCATCATCTCAAACTCATATATTTTAAAAATAATTAAAAAATTAATTTTACCATGGAATTGCAAACCATATTTATAATAGAAAATTAAAGAAATTAAAAAAGCAAAAAGAAGTAAAAACAAAAGGAGGAATTCTAATCTTGCCATCCATTAACACTCATCATTGACATTTTAATGTACACAGTTCTCATCTTTTTATCCTAAACATGTGCAGGCTTAAAAAAAAACCCACAAAACCCAAAACTAGAACCCTATTGTACTGCTAAAGAAATGCACGTGTCATTCTACCTGAAGAGTTGCTTGAGACTTTCTGCTGCCCCTCTTGCTCTTCAGAACCTTCTGGAATTTATGATCCTCATGTGCTCCTGCAGATGCAACTCCCTGAGCTCCACCTCAGCAGTTTCTATAGGCAAAACATTGCAAAATGCTGGCCATGTAATGTATTTCCAGAGAGCTGCATAGGATGGAAAAGGCGCCCTTTGTCTCCAAGGTCATAATGGCTCTGCTGACATTAATTCCTTTCACTGGAGCGGAGGGAGGACACGTCGAAAATGCCAGAAAGAATGAGAGCCCCCAGCCCCATGATCCCAAATGAAAAAGAGAGAGCGAGAGTGAGAACACAGAAATCCCCTTACGCATGACCCCCAGGTCCCTTTTGTGTGGTTCTTGCCAGCACAGCAACCACCCTGCTATATATACCCGCTGCTACTTCTGTCCCCATCACACTGGACACTGACCACTCGCTGTCAACAGCTATGGGAAAGGTGAGCCAACAGAGGTGCCATTCGTGGCTGCTGGGTGTTGGGTCTGTGATGGGGGGTGCGCCTTCGAGCTGACCATCTGCTCTCACCAATGTTTTACACTGCAGATCACCTTCTACGAGGACCGCGGCTTCCAGGGCCGCTGCTACGAATGCAGCACCGACTGCCCCAACCTGCAGACCTACTTCAGCCGCTGCAACTCCATCCGCGTGGACAGCGGCTGCTGGATGCTCTATGAGCGCCCCAACTACCAGGGCTACCAGTACTTCCTGCGGCGGGGCGACTACCCCGACTACCAGCAGTGGATGGGCTTCAGCGACTCCATCCGCTCCTGCCGCTCAATCCCTTATGTGAGTCTGGCTTCACCTTCACTGAAGGAAGTCATAGCATCGGTGATCAGGGACCGTCAACCCCTGCTTGCTAGTTGCTTTCTATTGCTGTTCTCAGCAAGGATAGGGACACATAAGTTAAATCTTGTCATTTGCAAAGTTGTAGAGCATCCTGGAGGGTTGAAGGGTAAATGCCACATGACTAGGCTTATTTGCAGAAGCGTATAAACATTGGTTTAACAGAACAGAGAGAAGAGCAGTGATGACTAACGAATGGCTGGAGCAGCTGGACAGGAAGGTTGGCAGAGATGGTGGTCAAATAATTTACAATTAGATAGTTCAAGAGCTATATTTTAGATGTTGACTACAGCTAATGATCACATATCATATTCTTTTAAAATGCTGAGAGGGCATGCTAACCACTCTCACCATAACATGATAACCATACAAGGTAATAATATATTAACCATTGTTTAACATACATGGTACCTACTTAGAAATACTGTGCACAGTCAAGATATACAGATTTGAATAAGAAATTAACTAAATAAAACAAGGTAGCATCTAGGAGATCCCTAATTGCTAACCAAAAATCTCCTTCCTTGCCAAAAATAAGTGAAAGGTAATTCTTGTTAAATAAAAACTTACCAGAACCTGGAAGGACAATGAATGAGAAGGCATTCTGCCTATATTGGTGATTTTTCTTCACTAGACTCTCCTGTACACTAGCATAGAAAAGCATGCTACATCTCTTGTGACTTTGTTTTTCCAAGGAGTGATTACCAACTAGTTTCTTACAAGGAGCAGAGAAAGATAAATAGTATTTCATGGACACAGCCCACACCAAAGAGCTTTTCAGTCATATGGAGCACGTGTTGATACATACAGTCTGATGACACAAATGATGTGGCTTGTCAAGGAGATTCAAGAATTGAAACCAGATGCAGGAAAGGAAAATTTGCAGATGCATGGAGATATAAATAAAAAATAGATCCTTTCTTTGAGGGCAAGAAATGAAAATGGTTTAAATGGCTTGGAAAAATGTTCTTTGAAAGATAGACCTGGAGCTAATATGAGCCATTGTAGATCAAGAATGCAAGGAATGACTTAAAAAAAAACAAAACAGTGGATAGGATGCAGTTACATGCTGTCATAATGGAGAGGGACTTTAAATCTCTTCTGCAGACTCATTACGCAGGGTTGTGACAGCTGGTTACTTACAAAGGAAATGCCTTTATTCCCTGCATTTCAATGTTCATTTCTTCTGCAAGATCTCTAGTTCACTGGTCAGGTCAGCTTTATTTTAATACACTTTCTAATCTGTAAAAACAACAAGGTAAGTAGTGGGATTAGGGAAGACACATGCTTCACAGGAGGGACCAAAGACCATGTTTCACGAAGATACAGCCTGATCACATCTCTTTGGCTGACACTAAGCATCTATGCCATGACTTTTCTTCTTCTCATCCCAACAGACCAGCTCTCACAGGATAAGGTTGTATGAGAGAGATGACTACCGCGGCCTTGTGTCTGAGCTCACAGAGGACTGCTCCTGCATCCACGATCGCTTCCGTCTCAATGAGATCTACTCCCTCCATGTTCTGGAGGGCTGCTGGATCCTCTATGAGATGCCCAACTACCGGGGCCGCCAGTACCTGCTCAGACCTGGAGACTACAGGCGCTACCACGACTGGGGCGCCATGGATGCCAAAGTTGGCTCTCTGAGACGAGTCATCGATGTGTACTAGGTTGTGCTTCTCTTGTTACAATTCACATCAAGATGCAATAAACATACAACCTGTGTGCCTGGCACTAAGTGGCTCTTGCTTATCTTTAAATACTAACTGATCTCCAATAGGTAGTGATCCCAGCAACTTATCTGACCCTGACATTATTTGGAATATCCACTTCCTTCCTGTTGATCAGGACACAGTATTTACAGAGACCTTTGGTCTACAAGAGAGAGGAAAGGACCCCAGGGAAAGGGAAAACATAAAGCTCACTGTGGTTTCAACACCAAAATAAGGGAAGGCTGAGGATGGTGTGAGAGTAGCTGATGTCTCAGATTGGTTTGAGAAAGGATACAAGAAGAGCGTGTTTTAAGCAGAATTTTCCAAAGTAGAAATGGCCTGCTTGATTTAGATCATCCTCACTTGGAAAAGGGCTAAGAGTTAAATAGCCTAATATTTTACCTTGCCTCTGCTAACAACTCTAGAGCAACCCAGTTAGCCCACTTTTCCTGAGACTCTCCCATTTTAGCAGAAAAAAAATGCATCCCAGAAGCTCTCAAAAGCTGCAGAGAAATTAGGAATGTTGGTTATCCTACTTTCCAGTTTATCTCGGAGCAAATGAGTTCATTCTTTTTTCTTTTTAATTTGTGCTGGTCCTAGGGTTTAAACT